GAGCAAACAGAGATGATATATATGAATAAGTAGACCCCGAATCAAATAATACCGAAGCATCTCTACTGCCGACGAAAATAATACCTGTGATGACGGCATCTGAGGCTAATGCATCTGGCCTAGCCGGAAGGGCATAGAATCTGGCCGGAGCGCTGGTAGGCTGGCCTCCACCTGACTGAGTAGTAGCTGGCTGACCTCTCCCTGCCTGGCCTCCACCTATAGGACGACCCCTACCAGTCTACCCTCCACCTCTAGGTGGTGGGGCAGCCGATGCTGAAATCATAGGCTGCTGACCCTGCTGTACTGCCTTGCCCCAAAGCCTGGGGCAGTATCTCCTCTTATGACCATGGTCTCCGCACTCAAAACAACCCCATGGTACGACGACCTGCTGCCCTGATGACTGACCCTGATGGCCTGTAGACCCACTGGAAGAAGCCTGGATAGTCGGCGGACGGTATGAACTCTCCAACATAGCACTGAAATAAGAATCAGAAGAACCTTGTGGACCTGAATAACCGTTGGAGGAAACCTGATTAGCTGGTGGGTGGTAAGAACTCTCTGACATCGCACTGAAATATGGTCTCACTGGAGCACCTCGGGGAGGTAGTGGTGGTGCCGAATACGGGGGTCTGTTGGGCTGACCTCTCCCGAAGTGACCTCTACCCCTAGCTGGGGCGCCTCTAAACTCTCCCGAAAAATGGGCCCTCTTGTCCCGCTGAATCTGCTCTCTACCCTTTTGGCGATATCCCTCAATCCTGCGAGCAATCTCTACCACTAGCTAATACTCGATACCCATCTCCACCTCTCGGGCCATGCTAGCTCGAATACAGGGGTGCAATCCCGCAACAAATCTCCACACTCTCTCTGCATCAGTGCAAAGTATCATGAGTTCATGACAAGACAACTCAGAAAACCTCGCCTCATAATCGGTCACGGACATCTAACCCTACTCCAGATGCTCAAACTGATACCGCAACTCTTCCCTCTCAGAGGGTGGAATGTACCTATCCAAGAATAACTGTGTGAACTGACCCCAAGTGAGGGGAGGGGAACCTGCTGTCCTGCCAAGAACATAAGACTGCCACCATCTACGGGCCCTGCTCTCTAGCTAAAAAGTAGTGAAGTCAACCCCATGCGACTCCAATATCCTCATATTGTGCAGTCTGTCCCTGCACCTGTCTATGAAGTCCTGGGCATCCTCATGACGCTCACCCCCGAAGACAAGAGGGAGAAGTCTGGTCCATCTATCCAATAACTTCTGCGGGTCGCCATCCGCAGCTAGTCTGGGCTGGGGCGCCACTACAGCCACTGGCTGGGCCCCATTTGCAGGTAGTGCACCCGGAGTCTGATACACTGCAGCTGCATGTCCAGGAGCCTAAGCAGTAGGGGTTTGTGCTCCCCCTCCTGCATGTGATGTAGCTAGATCTGCTGGAAATAAACCAGTTTGAGTCATAGAATTCATGAACTGCAGTATACGGCCCATGACCTCTTAGAATCCTGGTGCTATCATAAAGTCTTCCAGGGTAGGCTCAGCTGCGGGCACCTCGCCCTGCTCCTCGATGATAGGATCTCCCGCGGGATCTGCTGGTGGTACTACTGGGATAACTCTGGGACGCCCTCGTCCCCTACCTCGGGCGGGTGCCCTCCCCCGGCCTCTGCCTCGGCCTCTAGCAACGGGGGGAGCAGCCCCGCCAGGGTCTGGAGCATCAGCCGTGCGTGTCCTCACCATCTGTGAGAGAATAGAAGAGGAAAATTTAGCATAACAACCACTGCACGATAAGAAATGAACAAAGAGTAATTTTTTCCTAACACCCTATAGCCTCTCGAAGATAAATACAGACGTCTCCGTACCGATCCGCAAGACTATATTAGATTTTCCCATGACTTGTGAGACCTACGTGAACCTAATACTCTGATACCATATTGTCACGACCCATTTCCATAACAGATCATGATGACGCCCAACACTGTTGTTAGGCAAGCCAACGGAGAAGTATTAGTAAATTTTTATTTTTCTTACCCAAAACAGTTAAAACATTTTCTTAATTTGCAATTAAAAACAGGTGATAATATGCAACATCCGATAAAAATTATACAACCCAAAAAAAACGTCTACTAATGTGTGTGCCAAGACCTAGTGTCACAAGTTATGGGCAACTAGTAGAATATATAAAAGAATAAATCCATCCTACTATCCGAAATAGAATAGACAGCCAAAAATAAATAAATAAAAACTCCATCAAGCTGCTGAACGGCACAGGAAGGGGCAACTCACCGTGGAAGTCTCGGACTATGAATTAGGGGTGCGCACCAGACTGATAGCCAGATGTACCTGCCTTAGGTCCTGTACAATTAAGTACAGAAGTGTAGTATGAGTACATAAACAACATGTACCCTGTAAGTATCCCGTCTAATCTCGAAGAAGTAGAGACGAGAGGTCGACTTGATACTTAATAAGGTCAAATAATATAATAAAGTGTTATGCTAAGCATGAGAGTCACAAATAATCAACAGTTTGTAGCAAGAGGTAATAAGTCATGTTCTTAACAATTTTACAGTTAGCCATTTACATTTCATAGTAGAGCAAGCCATGGATGAGATTTCACGTAGATATCATGCGCACATTGTGCCGAGGTTGACGGCCCGATCCGACAGAAAATAAATTGTGCACTGCCAGAGGGTCGAATGGCGCGAACCATAGATGTATCTATCTCTACCGAGGCGATCGGCCCGATCCACAAATATCAATTAATATCAAGAAAACACAATGCGCATTTATTTCCAAGTAAATTCATAGAAGTGTCCAACAAGTGTATACATTCACTTATATTCCTTTCCAAGACTTTAGCATATCCTAAGTGATCATATTAGCAAGAAAATATAGAGACATCCACGAATATAGCATGATACGAGTGCTAGACTACCCAGACAATTAACATAATAGTAGCTACGCACGGACTCTCATTACCTGGTGCATACGTAGCCCCCCATTTAGTAGCAAATTACTCAATTATTACACTTATGGGGACAATTCCCTCTTACAAGGTTAGAAAGGAGACTCACCTCGCTCCAAAGTGCACTTCCAATACTGAGAACGAGCCCAAACCCTCAATTTGAAGCCGAACGATCCAAAACTAGTTAAATAAGGTAGGAACCAGTCAATATAAGCTTACAAGATTGTATTCTAGCTATTTAAGCAATTTCCCAACCTTAAACACAAGTTTCCTAAAATCCGACCCCGGGCCCACGTGCCCGGATTCCGAAATTTTTCGAAGGAAGTTGTTCTATATAACCTAAGGGTCAATAATATGATTTCTAATTCATTTTATAACTAATTTTGTGGTTAAATCTAACTTTTATTAAAACCCCTTGATTTTACCTAAATTCTAGTGTTTAATCTACCTAAGACACAATTATTAAACTAAGAATATGTGGGATAAACTTACCTCAAGATGCTAGGTGGAAGTTTTCTCTCAAAAGCTCCCAAAATCGCCAATGGAGGAGTGAAAAGTGGTAAAAATGACTTAGAACCCGTATTAAATGAAGCTCACTGCTTCAGCAATTTCCACATGTGCGTTCAGGGGACTGCATCTGCGGTCCCGCTTCTGCGAGGAAGAGACCGCATCCAATGGGCCAAGCGGGCTGGGACCGCTTCTGCGGTCTTGGAGCCGCTTCTGCGGCTTGGGAGCCACTTCTGCGGTTCCTGGCCTAGCCTGCCTTGGCCGCATCTGCGATAGGAAGACCACTTCTGCGGTCCCGCACCTGCGGTCAACCAACCGCAGGTGCGATTATGACAGAAGCAGATGCTTCAGCACTTCTCAAAAATTCCAACTTTACTCGAGCCTCGTCCGATTGACGCTCGGGGCTCCCAGGCCCCGCCTGAACATACCGACAAGTCTGAAATCATGAAACGGACCTACTCGAACCTTTGAAACGCCCGAAACAATGCTAAATCTAAGAATCACCTCTTAAAACCAATTGAATTATACTTATGAACTTCAAGTTGTTCATTTTTCTCTAACGAGCCGAAACGCCCTTAAACTACTCGGATTGACACCAAATTTTGCGGGCAAGTCTTAAATGTTATATCGGACCTGTAACGGGCTCCGGAACCAACATGCGAGCCCGATACCCATGAGGTCAATCATTAATTAGTTTCTTTAAATCTTTAAAACTTCAGATTACCACTTTCTAATAAAAATTCATTACTCGGGCTACAGACCTCGGAATTCGATTCCAGGCATACGCCCAGGTCCCATATTTTCCGACGGACCCTCCGGGACTGTCAAATCATGAATCCGGATTCGTTTGTTTAAAATGTTGATCAAAGTCAAACTTAGCCTTTTAAGAAAATCCTAAGGAATCAAATGAACATATTTCACTCCAAACTCTTCCAAATCCCGAACCAACCATCCTCGCAAATTATAAATTAGTTAAAGCAAGCGCAAGAAGTTTTATTTAAGGGAACGTGGTTCTAAAAAGCAAAACGACTAGTCGGGTCATTACAGTAAATCAATCGTCAGTTATGATCGTCGTTAATCTGAGTTCACCTTGAATCAGATTCTATTTTAATTCTTTATTTTCATGGGAATTTCATCCGAACCATTTTGAAGATCATCAAGAGCTCTCTCGAATGAATTCTACTCTTTCTGCTTTCCAGTAATTTATTCATGGCACGCCCTTCTATCCCATATTGTTGTTGCTCTTGTATAGTACAAGTATGTTTTTTTCAGAATTCTCAATTTTTTTTCCTCTCCACCACTTGTGTTTTCAAATCATTCATCTGACAAAAGTCCCTAACAAATACATAGGAGAAAAACAACCCAAAGATAGAGAGAAAGAATAGAGGATTTCAAGGAGAAAGAGAGGTAGAGAAAGGGTAGAAGAAGCGAAAGAGGAAAAATGGATGGATAATTGGAGAATACTAAAAACGACGGAGGGTAAAAAACAATGTTTTAATTTTATAAAAGGAAAAATTGGAAATAAAGTTGACAACATACTCGGGCCCAACACATTAAGCATTCTATTTTTTTTTTTCAAGTATTCCAATGCCAATGAAATAATTCTCCATCTGTAGATAAGAAATTGGACTATCAAAACCAGTAGGCTTTTCGATACATCATACAAAATGGTAGGATGGTACAATTAAAAAGTTATTCTAAGAGATAAAGTGCTGCAAGATCCTATAGACGTTATTCTGAGGATCATAAAATTCAATGTTATTGCTGTATAAAAGAGGATTGTATGAAGCAGCATCCTATAATTGAGGATTACAGGTTGTCTCTTAACCATTTTAGTGCACCATTCAGGACAGACCTGCGATCACAAACGTTTAATTAGGAGCAAGATATATTGGCAACAAGAAAAACAAAATTACAACACTTGAAGTTTAAGGGAAACTAAACCAAAATGTAGATAGATCAATTATTGCAGAATTAAGACGATGCCAATGGAGCAAAATTTATTTTTAAACCAAAGTACAACACCGAGCTAAAATATACACGTACAAGTAAGTTGTCATTCTACCATGGCTCGGTAAATGTAAGTAATGTCTATTTTCTGGCACGTTTGCTCAATTCATAAAGCAAAATCACTTATATGGTTAATGATAATGGGCTCTACCCATGGGTTTAAATGGAAAGTAGGTGAATTCCATGGTTCTAACAATATAAGCATCTAACCAAGAACTAAATACTTTTCAAGAAAAATCCTAATTAAAGAGTAATGTCAAGAAATTTACCTAGAAAAATTTGTTAACTTCTTCAACGGATCATCTTGATCTTCTGATGACTCATTGGTTTTTGATGTACTTGAATCTGAATCCACTGGAGTTTCTGTTGTATTAGCTGCGATGCAGAAAAGATGTGTCAACTTTTATGCTAGAGGAATCGACTGACTATAAATGGGATATTTATTTTGACACCCAAGTGCCATGGCTTTTGAGTGAGGAGAATTTCTAGCCTTTGATATTGAGAGTGAATTCAGAACGTGATTTTCTTATCCTCTGAGTGAAAATACTTCTTCTTTGGAACAATTGTCCAGAGGAGGGGTTCTAACACGTGACTATAGTTTCTAAAAAAGAATATCTATAAGAATGGTGCAATAATTAGGCGAGACAATACCAAAGTGGTAAGTTTAATTATCTAGAGATACGATCTTTTTTATTTCACAAGGATATGAATTAGTATGAAATTGCTAGGTTCAACTGAATTTTCAAGCAAGAATTAAGTGATAAAGAAATTAAAACTTGCACATTACAAGCATAACACCAAAGGGAAATACCTCTCGATGTCTCTGTTTCACGCTATTAGGCACAATGACTTCATTGAAGCTTGAGTTTCATGCATTGAAGCACAAAGTTACCATGAAACATGGAGCACTGGTTTGTCCAATACTGTCTATTATTTTTTTCCATCATTGCAATGCTATTTCAGTATTAGAATAGACAAATTCCATACACTTGTACTGAATTTTGTTGGGGGCTGGTTATTTTTCGCCCACAGTTTGATTATTGGACTCCACAATGCGATCAAAAGAGGGAAAACAAAAATTTCGAAAATACTTTGCAAAACCCACGTTTGAGCGTGCCCCGGGTTAACTAACTTCATTTTGACCTGTAAAATCAAAAGCTTCTTAGTGATATTGATAAACAAAAATACTTGGGCTGAAGTTAAATGGATGATATAGCTAACTAAAAATTGGTTATCTCTGATTGCACTACATAGTATGCACAATCTGAAGAGAAATGAACAATATCTTATGATGTTCACTAAATCAAACAATGGTTATTTCAGATGCCAAAATAAAGGGAAAGAAAAAGTTACATCCTGCCTAGGCAAATATGTTGCAGGAAGATCATCAACATAGGTAGTGAAGATCAGACTACCTGTTGTGCATGAGTAGAAAGTTGTCTAATATACAAGTTTAAGATTTTGCTTGAATCATCACCTAACCACATCTTTCCTGTTTAGGAAAGAGGAACTCTACCTCGATAGGGAATATTTTGAATGCGAATTGAGTTCTTCAAGTATAAAATGGTTAGTTCACAACCGAATTCAAACTTGACAAATTCGCAAAGGGAAAAAAATACAAAAGGAGATTCAAAACACTCATACAAACACACAAAGGAACACAAAGATTATCCGACATAGATTTGGAATGCCACATATCAGTCCCATATTGCTGGAAGCTCCTACGCTGCTCCTCATTGTAGACTTTAAAAATCACTTTTACATGTCCCTATACAGATAAGTCACCTAAAGGCTAAAGGCATATATATAACTTTGCTAGGCAGGACTAAGCCATGTATATACAGATGACCACATATGCTCAGATGACACCAATATTCAAGACTTTTAAGTTATTTTCCCATAAATGCATAATGAAGTTTACTGAGATTAGTAATATCCAGAGAAAGTAACTAAATACTAAGAGTATGAAAAATAGAAAATGTGATTAGCTCAAACGTCTCCAAGATACCAGGGCAGTAGGGGTATTCATAAAACCCCGAAAAACCGAACCAAACCGAACCAAGCAAAAAAACCGATACTTTTTGGTTTGGTTTGGTTTTGGTTTTGAATTTTAAAAACCGATCAAATTTGGTTTGGTTTTGGTTTTAATCAGAAAAAAACCGAACCAAACCGACTATTGAAGTAGCTATTCCAAATTTATTATTATACCTATATATATGTATATTGTTATACAAAGTTTCAAAAAATTTATGGTAAATGTTAATAGTTTGCACTTTTAATATAGTTCTTTATCTTTACATTCTAGTTTGATTGGTAGTTTTCTTTTGTTTAGTGTAAGAATCCATTTCGTGTTAAAAATAACATATTTTTAATTGAGTCCTTAAATTATTCATCACTATTTGATTCAATTATCATCAATATATTTTGGTAAATAATAGATTTCTCAAAGGGCAATTGATTTGATACTGTTACATTGAAAATGTAATCGCCCAAATATGTGTTTGGTAGTGTATGTCATATATTTAAGAAAAAACCGATAAATAACCGAAAAAACCGAAAAACCGACATAAACCGAATCAAGAAAAACCGACTTAATTGGTTTGGTTTGGTTCTAATGTTTGAAAAACCGACTTAATTGGTTTGGTTTCTTTTTAGGAAAAAACCGATCCAAACCGAACCATGAACACCCCTACAGGGCAACATGTGCCTACAAGAGCAATTTGTAAAGCTGATGATAATCTTTAAGGATGAAACATAAATCAGCTTCAGGGCCCGTGTTTCAAAAAGACTACGGATTTGTGAATTGAATATTTTTGGTTTTTTCATTTGATAACCAATTGGCTTAACTTCTCAGTCCCATCACCACCTTTGAACAATTTACCAGCCCATATAAGGTTGAATGTTTGAAGATGTGATCTATTTGCAACTTCTTCTCTTATGCTACTGAGGAAATAGGAAGCAAAGTAAATAAAAAGAATAGCCGGTACAATGATGGAGTGAGTTTCACCCGAAGTATTGATGTTGACAAAAAACAATAACCATCCAGAGAAATCGAGAAGCAAAGGAGAAGATACGGAAGTTAGTACAAGTATTGATATTAACAGAAGTACTGATATTCATAGAGCAGAATAAAAGGCAGATGAAATTCCATGAAAAGCAATGAGAAATATCTGTAGGTGGATTGTTATATCACAGCTGGCCTACTCAGCAAAGTTTAGCGTACTTGTATACGAAAAGTCAAGAGGTAGCAAAATGCTTTTAATTGACATTCCTCCGTAACAAAAGATTATGCAGATTAATATACTTATGCTTATAGTCATTCAACAAACAAAGATAACTTGGTGTCGCACTCTCTTAACTTTCTTTGTGCAACTCTGCACAAATATAAGTATTTCTTACAAAGGCATAAAAGAAAATCTAACCTGCTGTAGACTATACTTTGAAAACAGCATAAGTAGCACTTGCACTATACTAAGATGTCGTTGTGTTTGATCATGTTGAGAAGGTATTTTCGCCCAAATAAAGCTTCATTATTCAAAACATAGATATAAAGGTTTGCCCAAGGCAGTGCATTACCACTAAAGTTGAAAAAGTTGTACCAAAAATTAGAGATTCAAACACATTATTTCGATGCAAATACCAGAAAATCTTCAACACACCGAATCTTTAGAACGTAACTACCCCCTCCCTCCTGCCACGAAGAATAATAAAAACAATTTCTACATACCAATTTCCAGAATAAATTTTCCGTAAAAATTCTTAAATCCACACCAATTTTCACAATAAATTCCCGTAAAAAAACCCTAAAATTCAAAGTAAGCACTGTTGAAAATTTCTCCCCTTTCTTCAGTTCCAAAGAAGCAGCAAAAACCCATTCACTTAGAGCTTCGGCAACTATGTAAATTCGAAATAGGGAAAGTCAAACAGATTTTTTCTCTAAAATGCAAATTCCTACCAGATGAAGAGCGGAGATGAAGCCTCGTAGTACACAGATCAGGAAAGTAAATTAATACGAAATGATTACCTTGATGCGACAAAGTTAGAGCAGGGAATAAGTCCAAACCCCAATTTATCTTATGAAGAAGATGGTGGAGCTCCATAAAATGGAAGTTGATTTAATTTAAGCTATGAATTGCAAAAGTATTTCAAAATCCATGGAGGAACGGGTATATGCAGAGAATAAAGTTGAGAATACTGAAGAGAGAGAATCACATAATATAAAGCTGTAGGTATAAAATGACTATGTAACCCTCGCTAATTTAAGGAGCGTGCGTCATCAGATACAAGGACATAATAGAGAATTTAACACAAAATTAGACTGAAATGACCAACGTAGCCTTTGGTCGGCAAGCAGGGATGTCGACCGAGAGCAGCTAGTAAGAATTCTATATTCTATATAGTATAAGAATAGTTGAAACTTATTATTTGCTAGAAATTTGGGATGGCAATTATAATTAAGACAAATAAGGAAACCAGACAACTTGTAGCCATGAAATAACTTGAGCGGGTAGACGTTAGGTTTGTGCACGTTATTTCATTCTTTCTTACTACTAATTTTTTTAATAATAATCTATATCTATCTATCTATCTATCTATATCTTATCTATCTATATTATTATAAAAGCATGAATGTTAGAACGCTAAATATTGAAAGATAAAAATATCCTTAAAATATTGACCGATTTTTATACCCTTCACAATTGAATTATTTCTTCAAAAAAAAGTGGGATAAAATCATAATATTTAGTGTCTAAAATATAGGAGTCTGAAACCAATTAATACTAGAAAATGTTAAAATCATAAAATAACGTGAATCAAGTTATAGTGCCTAAAATATAGGAGTTTCTCACCAACTAAAAATAGAACTTCTTATGTAACAACCTGATCGGTCGTTTTTAGTTCTAGCGCCTCGTTCGGCAATTTGAGACCATGAGTAGCTTCACTTTAGGTATAATGACTTGTATGTGTGGTCAGAACAGAGTTTCGGGAAGTTCGGAGTTGATTTGGAAAGAAAATTCTCATTTCGGAAGCTTTAAGTTGAAAGAATTGACTAAGATAGGATTTTTGAGTAAATGACCTCGGAATCGGAATCCGAAGGTTCCAGTAGGTTCGTATGATGATTTCGGACTTGGCTGTACGTCCGGATCGGGTTTTAAAAGACCCGGGAACATTTCAGCACCTATTGTGGAAGTTAGCATTTTTGGAAGGATTTTATAAGATTGGGTTGAAGCGCATTTCAGTGTTATCGATGTCCGTTTGGGATTTCGAGTTTGGGAATAGCTTTGTATGGTAATTTTGGTGTTGGGAGCGCGATCGGAAGTGAATTCAGAGGTCCGTAGGTCATTTTGGAGTCATTTGGCTAAAGATAGAAATTTGAGGGTTTTTGAGAAGTTTGACAGGAAGTGGACTTTTTGATATCGGAGTCGGATTTCGATTCCGAAAGTTGGAGTAGGTCCGTAATGTCAAATATGACTTGTGCGCAAAATTTGAGGTCAATCGGACGTGATTTGATATGTTTAAGCAATGAAAGTATAAGTTTGAAATTTTAAAGTTCATTAAGCTTGAATTGGAGTGCGATTAATGATTTCGACATTGTTTGATGTGATTTGAGGCCTCGAGCGAGTTCGGATCATGTTTTGGGATATGTTGGTATAACTGGTTAAGATCCTGAGGGCCTCAGGTGAGTTTCGGACGTGCGGGAGGGGTTGGAAACACTCTAGATTTTCTGGTGTTCCTGGCAGCAGTTGCAGGTCTCGCAAATGCGAGAAATAGTTCGCATTTGCGAACTCACATTTGCGAGTGAGGCTTCGCATTTGCGATTCTTACGACCCGAATTTCCCACCCTCGGGAGTCGTGATGACGCCTACTAATGAAAGTTAGGCAAGCCAACGGTGTGAATAAATTATCTTTTCCCAATTTTAAATCCTTTAATAGTTAGGAACAATATCTTACAAACATCGAAATTTTTAAACAAGCGGAAGAAACGATAAAATATTTGAATAAATATCCAATACATCATCTAAAGCAAAATCTACCCAGAACTGGTGTCACGCTTCACAAACAGTCTAGAATTACTATAAACAAGGTCTGAAAGAAAGATACAATCTGTCTCTGAAGTAAATGAAAATAGAATATAAAGATAGAAGAGAACGCCGAGGCATACGGACGCCTGCAGGACTACCTCGGAATCTCTGACTGGACTGAAGGCAGTCACCCAAAGCTACGATCCAAAAGTAGCCGCTCCAGGATCTGCACACAGTACAGAGTGTAGTATCGGCACAATCGACCCCATGTGCTGGTAAGTGCCTGGCCTAACCCTGACGAAGTAGTGACGAGGCTAGGACCAGACTACCAAATAAACCTGTGCAGTTATATCATATACAACGGGAAATAAAACAGAAATAAACAATTAAAGATGGGAGGGGGGCATGTTGCGAGAGAATATCATTTACCAATAGTAATTCAAGAGAAAAACATAAAGAACAATTTAAAATTCATAGCAAAAGAATAAGGAAATCGTAACCAACCAATAAACACTTTTATTATTTATTGTTGCGGCGCGCAACCCGATCCAAATCATAAACAAACACTGTTGCGGCATGCAACCCGATCCATATCATTTATCACTGTTGTGGCGTGCAACCCCATCCAATTATATTATTGTTGCGGCGTGCAACCCGATCCAATTATATTATTGTTGCGGCATGCAACCCGATCCAATTATATTATTGTTGCGGCATGCAACCCGATCCAAATATAATATTGTTGCGACGTGCAACCCGATCCATATCATGCAATTCAACACCAATCACAAAAGATTCCCGGCAAGGAAACGATAAGGAAACAACACTATCCCGGCAAGGGAATCGATAGTATAAGTAAATACGTCCCGGCAAGGGAATCGATAGTATAAGTAAATACGTCCCGGCAAGGGAATCCGCTATCACAAAACTTGTTCCAACATCTAACTTCACAAAGAAATCTCAACTAATACCAATACCCAACCATAAACAATTTCCACGAGAATAGTCATAATTCTTGCTCAACACAGAAAATCAACAACTTAGGCATTCGTAGTACTTATTAAGAACACAACGATTTCAATTTAAGACTCACGATCATGCTTGACACCAACGTATAGATACTCATCACCATGCCTATACGTCGTACTTAACAAGTGTCATATAGCAAATAGGGCACAACTCCTAATCCCTCAAGCTAAGGTTAGACCAAACACTTACCTCGATGCCACGAACCCAATTCAAGTCTCAATTATCGCTTTACCCTCTTGATTCCACCATCAATTCGCTCGTATCTAGCCACAAGTTACTTAATTACATCAATAAATGCTATTTGAATCAGTTCTAATACATGAAAATAAGTTTTCTAACGTTTTCCCCAAAAAGTCAAAAATCGCTCCCGGGCCCATATAGTCAAAACCCCAGGTTCGAACCAAAACCCAATTACCCATTCCCCCACGATCCACAACAACAACAACAATAACGACCCAGTATAATCCCACAAGTGANGCATGTCTCCAAATCTCTAGCCTCTTGTTGACGCTGCCTCGTGTCTCGTCAATTAGAATAATGTTATCATCAAATAGCATGCACCACGGCACCTCCCCTTGAATATGATGAGTCAGTGCATCCATCACCAGGG